CGACTTCATGGGCGAGATCGGTATATTCTGATCTTCTCTTGATATTTTCCCGATTGTTGTTGTATTGGTATTGATATATCGATAAGGAAAACCTGCTGATGGTTTCTAATCAATGTACGTTATATCGCAGTCTATTCGCTGGACATGTCTGTAACGATAATGGAGCGATCCCAGTAGAGTGTGTGTAGTACTTTCAAGCACATTCTGAGGCACATATTTATAATACGGCACGGGTGCGAGGAAAGCATTCTCAATGCCAATAATTGTTGTATCTGCTTCGCCCCACTTCAATATGCTTCTTTTGTAATTCCACTGGTGCGTGGCTTGATAATCACTTGTCACGTGTTTGGATAGTTTTTCGCTTGCAGCTCACATTTCTACACGAGTCGGAATGAAGGGTAGAATCTCTCAGAATGTTGTTTTTTTGAAGTTCAATGTTGGTATAACTTGGTCCGGATAGCTATCAAGAAGGCTTCTGTCTCGCAGAAAGAGATCCCCGTGCTGGAGACATGCCATCGAACGCCTAGAGATGTGACTTCTGGTTTACTGCAGCTCGTGGGTACTTCATTCAGTGCTTTGCTTTCATAACAGGTTATTTCTCTACGTTTAGTGATTGGCCGACAGGGGATAAGCATGCTTTCATATGTAGTGGCTTGGTAAGAGGATATAGTTATTATCAACTGCACTCACTGCTTGCTGAACTCTCTACGATGTTCCAAAAGTATCTTTCTGAGTGAAGCAATTTGAGAGTGTGTAGTTAATGAGATCTTCAACACTCGCCTCCCTGTGGCTTGGAAGGGTAAAAGCTCAGTACTTGAATGGGATGATGTTTTCGGTGTTGATCATAAGCGGTTTCGAATTGTTCTCTCTGGAGTGTTGTCGTAGGTGGTATTGCTCCATTTAATAACGCCAAAAGGAGTATGTCAGCACTGGAATAACAAATGAATGATGGTGCACATGGATTCATAGCAGAGATTAGTTTTAAGAGTCCATGCAATCGTTTACACACTTTCAGTTGTTAGTATGTTTCTTAGTAACAGTGTGTTATTCGAGGGACTGTTGAAACGCAAGTATTTGTAAGTTTCATGGGTTTTCGCATGGGTAATCTTTGTGTTATTATCAGTTTCCAAATTTAATACTTTGGCATATGGAACCCGAATGATATTCACTCTCCTGCAGCTTATCGCAAACGAATTTCATCTGATGTCGTCAGTGAATCCGTTAGAGCTTATTAGTTGCCGCATATGACTCTGTGTCTGCATAGAGCTTCTGGTCATCCATGTAAAGAAGATGGGAGTTGAGTTCCCTTTTTAAGAGCGATTCATAATTAGGTGAATTTAGTAGACATTGGGTTCAGGCTAGCAGACAATAAAGGCTTAAAGAGTCACCTGAAAAAACCTCGGTGAAAGTGTCTAGTATCTGTGTGGACAGAGTGTTTTCCATTGCCTACAGTTTTGTATCCCATCGACTCACGCGGTTTCAGGAAGTTTTGGATAGATGGGTGGACTCGTATATCATCGAACATGAAGGAGCAAAAATGGGGCACGTGTCGAATGCTTTAGCGTTCATCTATGTAGCATGCGTACAAGTTTCTTTGTTTTTTCAAGCACTTGCGCCATAATTAGCGTCTATAATAATTGCTCTTTGTATGCCTGAAATCCAGTTACATCTTTCTGTTTCATTCGTTAAAGATGTTCTGATCCCTCAATGTGTGTCATCGTCAATTTGCTTGAACAAGGTGTTTATGATTTGTAGAAAGTTTTGAAGCAGGTTATAGGCAGTACGTCGAGGGTCTGTAGTGTCACCGCGTCTTTGTAACAAGAATGTTCTTACCTTCTGTGAGGAATATAGGTAGATTTCTGGGTTGTGAGGAAATATTGAATATATTAGGCTATATGACGGTGAGTGCTGGTAATTTTTTTGAGTAATAATTGTGCAGGCATCAACTGCCTGGGTGTCTCAGTTATGTGCTTTGTTCAGAGCTGTTTGGGACAATTCCACGGTGGATGATTAGTTTCACCCATTAGAGGGGACATTCGTGAACCTTGGGGGTTTCCCCCCAAATCCACTCAATAACGGCGTCATATCTGGGCTGTGGATACAGCAGATTAACCAGATAGGCCTTCAAAAGTCTCTATTTGTGCCTTGAGAGAAGCTTGACTCTTTCATATCACTTACAAGCCCTTTGCCTTACATATTCCTGTAGAATGCTTTTCTGGTTTCTGTTAAAAAGAGACTTCTGTTGCTTCTCGTAGTGCAATTCCCTGTATCGTCGAATTGTCTTTGTTAACGTCAAAAAGCTTTTATTAGTAGGATGTAAGATGTTCTGTTATTGTTGAATTCAAGGGCTCATGTTCTAATGTATATTTTGTATTGATAAGGATGTTATTCATTTTTTCTTCTCAGTTTTTTCTGAGGTATTTCCTTTTTTAAATTCTCTCTTCTCTCTCTCTCTCTCTCTCTCTCTCTCTCTCTCTATATAATATATATATATATATATATATATATATATATATATATATATTATAATAAAGAAGTCGTGTTAGTTACTACACTTATCAGTCAAGAACGGCTGAACCGATAGGCTGAAATGCAAGGAGGTAGTTTAAAGAGCAGAGAAGGACATAGTGATATTTTTATCCGTTCGACAGCATTCCGGGACTTGACATGAAACGTCAGCCACTATAAACGTGGTAAACAAAAAGATCAGACTTGGAATAAAAACGCAAAATGAACAATTAATTGACGTATAATGAAGATATGTAATGAGTATGGATGACAATTTTGATTATTTGGTAAGAAATATAAAAAATAAATATATTAAAAAAACGCATAAATGTGGCATTAGAAGCACCTAACCGAAACATTAAAAGATTTTACGCAATGACTGAGATGTTTTGGAGGAGCATTGGTTTCCTGATATTCAGCGTCTTATTATGCATAATATGCCGGCTCTTCCAGTAGCCTCGGAAATACACATGTCGTACCATGTGTTTTGCGGTTTGTCCGGTTGTTCGCTATAAATCAACAAATCACGTTTTTTCAGTTGAAGTTGTACATTAGATCTTGCAACCTAAATTCTACATTGCACAACAAAAAGCTAGGGATTACGCCTGAGGAAGGTCGCAGAATGGCGACCGAAACGTCGGCACCTTCGCCATGGACGCGGTGTCACCCGGACAGCCTAGTAAATACTTGGAGGCGATCTCCGCAGCTTCGACCTCCTAGAAAAGGGATCAAAACCTGCACTCTCTAGGCTTTCGCTTGTCGCAGTGTAGAATTTTAGAGACGCCAAGCGGTCCACGTCTCTGAGATTGCAGCCGTTGGTTGACGACCGCCGGGGGCTTGCTTTCCCACCCCCGGTTGCCGGTACTAGGGCTCCGATCCCCTGCACTGTAAAGGCGCGTATACACGGAGAGAGTTTTCTCTCCTAACTTTCCGCAACTGGTTAAGAGACACGTGTAAACTCTCAAGAGAGCGATCTTCTCTCCGAAGACATGACGTCACAAGAGATTTTCGAAGTCTCCACAAGAGAGCAGTGTCTTTCTCGATAGATTTCACATTTTTTCTCAGTCTCCCAATCTTGTTTTTCTGGTTATTCTTCTTACCTTGCCCTGTTTTTTATATTCTCTGAGGATTATTATTTCTTGTCTGTAGGCTTCTACAATAAGCTTTTCCTTTTTTGTTATCAGCTCTGATTTTTCTTCATGCCAGGCTTACAATCATTTTCTGTGTTTCTTTTGAATGAAATTATTTCAAAAATAACTGGCGAGGTAAACGAAGAAGTGGCAATAAGACATGTATGATTTTCACGCTATTCATAAAATAGCTTGTAATAAAATATTGTCTGTTCCAATAGAAAATGTGTATATGATTGACAAAAGAGACATTTAACATGAACTTCGTATGCTAGCATGTGTCTAATAAGCGAATAAATATGTGCATGTGTGTAGTTGTCCTGGTCCAGTCTGAAGTTTGCGCAATGCAGCTGTTTAATAATGCCTTGAATATAAACATCTGGAGATTGTAATGAATACAAAATTGTGTAACCTGTCAAGATACATGTGGTATAATAATTTACAAGAACGTTCACATCCAAGTGCATTCATAAACTAGTGGTGCTACATAGGCACATACTTTCTCGCATTTCTAAGTGCTCCCTTAGTATATTATACTACTACATAAACGTACAAACGTGTTTTCAATCAGCAATTTTTTATCCGTCACGAAATCCGAACTCGGATCCTCAGAGTCAACTTGCAGACACTCGTAGCACTACGCCACAGAAGCGCCGTATGGATGGATCTCGGGATGAGGTATAAGAAAGTATATCCCCGCTTCATGTAAAAAAAAAAAATAATAATAATAATAATAATAATAATAAATAAGTAAATAAATAAATAAATTAAATAAATAAATAAAAATACCCGTTTGAAACTTTTAAAGCTTGCGTTCAGTTCGTCCTGCGTTCAGCCAAAGTTCGTTCAGATCGATCAGGGAATATCAATTTTGGAGAAAATCGGCTGAAGGCGACAGTGTTTACCGCAGACGGACAGAAATCGTTTTTCGGTATCAAGGACCCACTAAACATGGATTCTGACTACATCAAGTGTTAGAGGATTTTTACCCTGTGTTTAGCAAGGGATTTATCCACTTTTTCGTTACCAGGTCCCGGCAATAAGTGTTTTCTATCGAAAATTCGCCGTTTTTTCTCGCAACATTACATAACTCTCTTCTTACCAAGAACCTTTGTTAAGGCAAGAAAGTAAATAGTTCCAACAATTTTGTTTCTTATCGTAATTTTACTTATTTTAATTTACCTTAAAGATAATTATTCTTTTAAAAAAATGTTTACAATTGTCTCTCTAGAGGCAGTTAAATTGTGAACAGATTTCTCTTGTTTCATTAAATTGATGATTTATGTTTTCTTATTGTATATATTCAAAAGTAATAGTAACTGTACATCATTTGATTTCAGTCATTTTAATAATTGTTTTTAGAACAAGAAGCTGACGCAGAAGTAGAACGACAGAGAAAAGAAAGAGAAAGACAACAGAAACAAGATGTGATGACTTTGGGTGAAACTCGAGAGCAAATCCAGCAATTGGAGACTCGACTTGCCCAGCTGAAGGATGAGAAACATCAACTGTTTTTGCAGTTAAAGAAGGTTCTGAATGAAGATGATAATCGCCGTAGACAACTTTTTAAAGAATCTAAGTATGTAGGGGATTTAGTTTGATTCTTGAAAAACTAATTAGAATTTATAGTTTCTTGAGTTCAGGGATCAGAGTGTTATCTTGTAAATATTACAAAAGCACTATTATATCCTCATATTAATATTACAAGGGCATTATTGATTTGTTTTATACAAATTTTCCATTTCATCATTTTAAATACATTAAACACATTTCTAAATTAAGATCAAGTGCTAAAGCAGTGAAATTTTGTTCATTGGTCTAGCATTTTGATTTTGATTTTTACTCAGCATTTGTTCTGAAAGTGAACTAGTTCTAAAGATTTTTCCAAAAATGTATTCCTTTCGTACAGCATACTTTCTTAGTTGAAATAAATTGTTTTGTAAAATGATAAAATGTGTTACAGTGAAATGATGAGCATGCACGCATACCCTGCTGTGGCTTTGAGCCAACATCCACCTTTGTTTTTACAACAAAATATGCCTCTAGCTGGCCGGGCTCCAATTTTCAAAGTTGCCCCTACTCATGGAGCCCAACATTCGTTGCTTCCTCCTGTAAGTTTTTTTTTTGTTGTTGAAGTTTTACAGTAGTGCAATAAAAGTTGCCTGTGTTGTTCTTATGAGTCTTTTTGAATGATATCCTGGTGTGTAGGGAGCTTTGAAAAGATCTAGAAGTCCGTCGCCGCCGCCTCCAAATTATCATCAGGGTTATGGATATAAGCCACAAACTATTCCAGCCTATTCTCAACAAAGTAAGCATTGTAGAGTACACAATCTTTAATTATAATCAAAGACTTCTTGCTTTGGTATGAAAAAAGCATTAATGGTTTGAGTTTCATTTCTCAAAGTTGTCTCATTTTAAAATGTAATTATAACTTTTATATATTTATTCTGTTAGATATATTTTCTGTGCTAATCATTTGTTGTTATTCACTTGATAATATTATTTTTCTTATATCTAGCTGTATTTTACAGAAGTTGTGTGAAGTGTTGCTTTTGAAAATAGATATACGTTTTTTCAGTTATTAGTGTATTTTTCAAATCCCTGTAATTTTTATTACAGAAGTGGATGATGGCCGTAGAGGTCATGAATATGTCAGGGCAGTTCTCTGGAATAGTAAGTATACTGAGTTGAACTTCATTCACGTGTCAGGAAAAATTAGACTGTTTTCAAATGAAATTTTAAAGAAATGGATGATTTGAGTTGGTACAGTTTTTAGAGTGAATGCTCCTTGTGACAAGAAGCTCAATTTTTACAAGTCAAGAGCTACTGATTTATAAAAAAAAACTTCAATTATTATTAAAGTAATTGTACATAATTTAATCCTGTTCATTCTCATTGGTTTGCTATTAAATCAATTAGGGTAAACATTTTAGTTTTCTAGTCTTATCAGTATCCCCATGGGTAGCTCACTGGCCAGCATGCTCACTTTCCATGACACGTGCAGATTATAGTGTGCGCTTTCCTTGCAATGCACCTGTGTTTGTTGCTGTGTTGATGAGAAAGCTCACTTCTCAGGTTGAGAAGCCTGGAACACAGCATAGGGATGTCTATGTGCTAACTACAAGTACTTTTTAACCCATGGCTGCAAGGCTGTCGTCACTGGTAGGCATTGGTTCCCTCAGAGGCTGTTATGCCAGTACAGACACATCCTTATCAGTGACACTGTTAATAAACATATTGTTTGATTTAATTTGATTTCATACTTTTGATTTCTTTTCTTCAAAGAGCAGTAAATATTATATGTAAAATGGAGGAGAGAAGTTCAAATCTGTGCACTTTTTCTTGAGCTTCAGAATGACATACAGTAGTGTGCAAATTAATATGAACATGTCTTGATTTCAACTTATTTTAATAACCCATACAATATTTACAGAACATTATACTAGTATGAAATATGTCCACCCCCGGCTTCAATAACTAGTTTTACTCATATTGGCATAAAATGAACCAATTTTTGACACATCATTTTCACTTCATTGTCTTTGAACCATACACTGATTAACAAAGAAAAGGTTTCTTTGTTTGTGGAGTTCATTTTGCGCATTTTTACTTTAAGGATAGCCTATAAATTCTCTATGAGATTGAGGCCAGGAATGGAATTTCCTGGCCAGTCTAAGAGCTTAACATAATGTTCTTGGAAAAATTCAGTGACTTTTCGCGACCTATGACGAGGAGCATGATCTTGTTGAAAAATGCCATTTTAAGTTCCAATCACTCTTCTTCTTACAATTTCAATGTACTTATCGAAATTCATCATTCCATCAACCGGAACAAGTGGCCCTGGCCTTTGAATAGAAAGACAACCCCAAAACATTTTCCTAATGGGGTATATCACACTTTGGTCAATGTGATTAGGAGAAAGTTTCTCATTACGTGATTTCCTCACGTAGCGAGACCGTGTCCCTGTACAATAAAGTGCGCTTCAGCTGAGAATGAGACATTCTCCTAATCTTATTCATTCCATTTCTCATATTTTTTGGCCAAAGATACTCTTTTCTTCATTATTGGGACGGTCAAAAGCTATATCTTTTGAGGTCGAACAGTTATTCGCCCCGCTTCCAAAATCCGAATCGTCAAACAGTAGTCATGAATATGAACACCCGATTGTGCTAAGTTTTTGTAGATCAAAATTTGCCAGCCTTGGATCTTTCTTTGATTTTCTGAGCAAAAGTGAGTCATCCCTGAGAGTTGTTTTCCGTTTTCTTCCACACTTTCCTCTTCACTGAGGTGAAACACTACCAGTTTCTTTAAATTGCTTGATCATTTTGTTGACACCTCCTAAACTCATGTCACGTTCTTTAGCAATGTCTCTTTGTTTCATACTAGTAGTATATATAATATTTGGCTATCTTACTTCCTTTCTTTGGAGTGAGATCCATAGCTTGCGTTTGACCAATGTAATGATCTCTCTCTCTTTTCACAAGATTAAAACTTCACAGAAACGAGCAATAACACATTAGTAAACACAAACAACAATATAACTATGATAAATATGCAGTTGAGATATGCTTTCAGACAATAATTGACGGTAAATCAAGATTGCCAAGCTCTGAAATTCAAATTATTTGAAACTTACATCTTGTTCACATTAATTTGCACACTACTCTACAGAAACATTAAAATACTGCTGATTACATTTAAAAGGTATTCAAGTTACTTTTAGTATGTTGTAATGTATTGATTCTCTTAATATTAGAGAGCATTGAAGATAACAACAATAAATATTGAAGGATTCATTAATTGACTTTAAATGTTTCCACATTTTTATTTATCAGCTGTTTTATTTTATTATAATTCTAATATGGGGTCCACCAGAAATGAATTAACGCAAATTTGGAGTATTTTGAATATCCTCTCTCCCCACTGTAACACACCTCTAATGCCCGCTTGAACCCCCTCTAATAATTACCTAACATTTGCGACAAGCCCCTCACAATTCTAATAAGTAAAACTCAATTATAAAGCACAAATGAGTTGTATTAATTCTATTTGTGTTATATTTTACAATTTATTATAATTAACATGAGTCCACATACCTTCGGGGATGATGTAGAGGCTCAAAGTATACCGCCCCAACTGATTGGGTTCTAGAATATATTGTACTGTAGATCAGTTTTGAATACTTTCTTCATTATCTATAAGATTCAATGGATATATTATTGATGAACAGTTTTTTTTCATTTATTTTAATAATTTATAGAATGTAACTTCTTTCATTTATTATATTTTTAATTTAATTTGCTAATATGAAAATGTTTTAGTATCAGAATTAATTAATTTATTACAGCAAAAGTTGAAAAAAGTAAACTATATCTCCCTATCCCTACGTAACACAGTGTAACGCTGCCCGAAACCCCCTCCCTCCCCCCCTTTTCAGCGTTACATAATTTATGGATGACCTGTAAGCGAAGAATCGTAGTACCTTCAGTTCTGGTGTTGGGAAATAGTTTAAGAATGGTTGCCTTTTTCAAATATTTTTTCCCTCTTTTCTGCAGACCTTCCTAAAATTGTATGATGAAAAATGACTATAACATAAATCATAAAAGTTGGATGAAAGACTTGAAGATTAATTAGAATTAATGCATTGTAGAAAATATTGGAGTATTATTTGGCATAGGAATTAAGTATTCAAGGTTCAAAAAGGTATTTCATCCGTTGGGAACATTTAAAAAATATAAAGTGTAGCCTTACCAAATTTTATATCTTTTGTAAACAATGCATTTATTCTACTTAAAAGATTTAACCATCAGTTTTATGTAGTAATTGAATTACATCATTTCAGAAAACACACAGTACACCAGTTCCCAACCCTTTTACGCTCCTCATGGACCAACACAGGTTCCATCTGCTACAACAGTGAGCTATACTCCAACAGCAGCTCCAACGGTTTATACTTATGCCGCTGCTGCTCCACAATACGCTCCGCCAGCTGCTGCAGTGCCTCCACGTGAGGAGGCTGCGAAACCTACCCAGCCACACAGTGTGTACATGGGGCAGCCGCGCACCAGCTTGGCCACACTCCCTCCACACAGCCAGAGTGAGTGGTTGCTGCCAAAACGCGAGCTGTGTTCTGCTTGGGAGCTCCCAGAAGAAAGAGCAGGTGGAACACATGTTGGGGAAAGGCAACGTAGGGTTGATATTAATTAGGCTAGAGTTGCGGGATGGTTTCATAGTGAGCCGTCTTAATCCATAAGACCACTAGAATTGTGGTCCAGATTTGAAAGGCCCATGAATTACCGAAATGTTGAAAATATAAAATTGGGACTTCCAAAAAAATGCATGTATGTTTTTAAAAAATATTGTTAATTTAATATTGTATATTTCAAAATTTAAATTTTATTTCAATTCATATGTGTACAATTTTATTTTAAAGAAGACTTTTGCAAGTTTTTAATGTTATTTCTAAACAGTTCCTTGTATATTATTGTTGTGGTATTTTTTAATGGTAATGCATATATTAGTGATATTAACTGTCATCTTAAAAGTGAATTGCTTAAAATTTTTCTTGCTTTTCTAAGTCTGATTTAACCAGAGCACAACAAGATTACCGGAAAAATCTGGGCAATGAATTAGACAAACTAAATAAAGTGAGTGAAACAAAAATGACAATAAGATATATTGGTAATGTCCCGAAAATTGTGAATGCGCAAACTTTTCGAGCATCCAAGGATAAAGACAAAACCAATCTAATATCTGCAAGTGTATTGTCAGAATGTTAGAGGGTTGAGGACCAAATTGGAGAAATTCTTGGTATCTTCTTCCAGTTCTGAATGTGATGTATTTTGTATTACTGAGTCTTGGTTGCACTCATCCATCATGGATGGTGATGTTGTTGACAATAAATGTGCTATTTACGGAAAGACAGAGATCCTGCAATTACTAACTGTAAGCGTGGTGGTGGAGATTTTATTGCGATTGAAAGTAACATCATATCTGAATTGGTCATAATTGAGGAAAATCACCTTGAGCAAATTTTTGTTAGAATTAAGGGATATTATCATGGCATCACCATTAGGTGTGTATACATCCCTCCACAATCCCACCTTCACATTTATTGTGAACATTTATTGTGACAACTATCTCCAATAAACAAGAAAAAAATCCAAATTGCAGATTGATTATAACTGGTGATTATAACATTCACAGTAGTCTACCACAATTGGATTGTGAATCTTTCCTCTATGAAAGATTCTATTTGTTGGAATGTTCTCAGTTAAATGACATTTGTAATAACCAAGGTCGATTACTAGACCTTTGTTTCAGCGACTTGGATGCTCATGTTGATAAAATACCTGCTATTGTGAATGAGGATATATTTCATCCTGCATGGTCCGTTAATCTGGAGTTCAGAGCGAGCCTGAGACCGAATGATATCCCAACATATTTATTCAGGAATGCTGATCATATATCACTGAATAACTATTTTGTAAATTTTGTAAAATTCTATATAAATTGGACAATGTAGATGATATGGTTCAATGATGTGATCTACTGGGCCGTAAATCAATTTGTTCCTAAGATCTATGGAAGAAAAACTGATTTTCCAATTTGGTTTTCTAAGGAATTAATACGTCTAACAACACAAAAGAAAATTGCTCACAAAAATTACAAATTGAGAAAAAGTCAGGATAATTATATTACTTTCTGTACACTTGAATCAAAATGTAAACAATTAAGCAAAAACTGCTACAAAAATTACTTAGAAAAAAACGAAAATGACCTGAACATGGATCCTAATAGTTTTGGAATTTTATGAAAAATAGATGTAGGAATAACAGATATTTCCTCCAAGATGGCTTGGAAAGATGTAGCAAGTAATGGAGTACATATTGGAAATTTATTTGCATCCTTTTTCAGAAGTGTGTATAATGAACCTACAGGATCTTCAACCGGAAGTGATGTTGGCAAAGAGTATCCAGATGCGGAGCTCTCCAGATGTGAAGTCACCTATAATAAGGTTTTCCGTATATTGACACAACTTAACATCAACAAAGGACAAGGATCTGATGGTATACCAAACATACTACTGAAAAACTGTGCTGCAGGATTATGTGAACCCATCATGCACATTTCTGATATATCACTTGAGCTGCGCTACTTTCTATCCACCTGGAAATTTTCTTATATCATACCAATACATAAAAGTGGAGACAAGTCTAAAGTGAATAATTATAGGCCTATGTGCATTCAACCATCACTGGCTACTCTTTTTGAAAAAATCGTTCTCCCACAATTGACAAGAGCTTTCAAAGATATCATTACTTCTAAACAACATGGCTTTATTGGAGGAAGATCAACATCTACAAATCTCTTCATGTACATCAACTATATCTTAAATGCCTTAGACAAAGGTCAAAATGTGCACTCTTTATACAATGATTTCAGTAAAGCCTTTGATAAAGTTGATCACGAAATATTGATGTCAAAATTGAGTTATGGTGTTCGACTAATAGCCATTGAGTGACTTCGTTCATATCTGACAGGTAGGAGATTACAAGTGAAAGTTAATGGTCATTTATCACATGAATATGATGGTTTGTCCGGTATATCACAGGGTACTCATGTCTGACCAATATTATTCAGTATTTTTATAAATGATATTGGTGAAGGGTTGCAATCAGAATTCTTGTTATATGCTGACGATATGAAGATCTACAGAACTATTGTGAGCGATGTGGTTATTCTACAACACAACATCTCTGTACTCGAGAAATGGTGTATGTATAACAAGTTATTCTGGAACATTGGGAAATGTGCTGTGATGATCTTCTCTTGTGCTTATGGTCAATACAATGTCAACTATCAGATAGATGGAAGGAACGTACAAATTGTTAATTCATTTAAAGATCTGGGCATAATTATTGATGTGAAACTTCCTTACTTTTGCTGATCATGTGGACAACATCTAAAAAAGCGTACAAAATCTTGGGATTTATACTCGGAAACAAAAGAATTTAGAATCCACAACACTGTCTTGTTTATTCTCTGCATTAGTGGTTCCAATACTGGGATACGGAAGCATAGTTTGGTCACCGTACACTGCCCAACATGTTACATGAATTGAGAGAGTTCAATGAAAGTTCTGCAAATCCTTAGTTTATTACTGTCAAGATGAAATTGTGAGAAACACTGATGATGTTTACGACATACTTAAGATTGATAGCCTTCAAACTCTGAGACAAATGATAGACCTTATTTTTTCTACAAAGTATTTAATGGCTTTATCGACTCGCCTAAAATATTGGAGCAATTTGGCCTTGTATGCACCAGGCCTAATTTGCGTACAAGAAGACTTGCGAATGTGAATAATTCCAACAAGAATTATGTCATCTTTGGGCCATTTAAAAGAATAGCTAACATGTTCAATTAGCACCAAATGTTCATTTCTTCGATATATCTATATCTACTGCCAAACGCAGCATAAAATAATTCATTTAATTGTACTTATTATTGTCTCAACCAAATTTTGTGATGCAATGTTCATGATATATATCAATTGTATACTTCTGTTTATGTGCTTATGCTCTCATATATATATAATACATTATAATGTGAAAATTTAAAAGTATAAAGCCGATTGGCGTAAGTGAATGAATAAAAAAATAAATGAACAAATAAATAAATTAATAAAAAGTTAATAACTATTTCATAGATATTTATTTAATTTGCAAATTTAATTTAAGAGTAGAATAAATTATTAATATTTTTTATTCTTTTCTGAAAGTATGAAATAAAAATACTGCATGGGAGCATTTCTTATTTTCATCTCTCTTTCAGTAGAGATTCCTTTCTCTTAGTACAATTATAAAAGTAGCAAATCAACTTTTCTCATAGATAATGTACTCTTTGTCATTTTGAAACACATTTAAGTATAACAAAGGGCAATTTTTATCTTCTATGTAGTAATTTACAATTGGATACTAATAAATTGGAATTTGTTAGTTAGATGTTAATGAACATCCACAATATTTCTCTTTACACATGTGAAGTTTATTTGTAAATTATTCTTCTGACATTGTATTAGTTGCTGAATGAAAGTTCTGCAATTCAGTGATGAGAAATCATTTTTGTTTCATCACTTCCTCAAATTTAACCAAAAATATAATTTTTGTGCACTTCAGTATTATAATGCACATGTTATGTACATTTTAAGAAGTTGTGTTATGTAGTAATGTGTATATTCTATTTGCAGCGTACGTAACAGCAATCCATCAATCAATGGAACATCCAGTGCAAAAACAAAGTTTCCAGCCTCCTCAAGATGCAGCGGAAAAGTATTATGTAAATGCATCGCGCCCCACAACACATGTACCAATTCATGGTGGTGCCATTCCCATCCAACAACCTCCACAGGTATGATCAGTCGTTGTTACTAGGTTAAACTGCTTTCACTTCGTGGTAACACATTTTTTCTGGAATTAAGTAGCTTTTAGTAAAAGTTCATTAACAAAGACAGTCCATAGAGATATCACAAAAATCTTTCCTGTTGCGTTTTAAACCTTTAAGCTGAAGAACCTTTAGCTGCTACTAAAACAGTTTAGTAATGGCCTCATGATAATTGAGTGTCCTACCAGAATTACATTCCTCAATGAATGATGAGAACTTAACACTTCTACTCCAGCCATTCATAATCAAAATTCTGAAGTTATTGTGCCAAGCAGGAACATTGTTATTCCCTTTATCCTGAGGATAGTGAACAAGTTTGCGTGTGGCGATAGTGTAACGGTTAGCATTTCGGGCTGTTTTACCCAAGTTGGCAGGTTCAAACCCGATCGAAGCCGTGGATTTTTAAGGGCGAAAAAATCCTTCTTACGCCTTCCTCGGAGGGGAAGTAAAGTCAAGAGCAGGCCTAATGGCCTGAGTCTCGCCACGTAAAATAAGGCATTCATTCAATTCATTCAAGTTTAGAAAATAATGCCTCAGAGCTAATCTCCAGGTCGATAACATCAGTAGACAACAAAAATCATATCATTAAGAATGTTAAAGATCCTTTTCTTCTTGACAAGGAAAATGTTGTCTACTCATTCTGTGCTTGGATTGTCTCCTAATTTATGTTGGCTGAACCAAAAGTTTATTACTGATGCATATGATAGGACTGTGTAATAATACAAAACGAACTTGATCATCAATGATGCAAAATTATCAGGATATTTTGAATGCCATTAAAAGAAGCAATGTAGAATACTGTAAAACATTAACATGACAAAATGTATGGGCCTCTTTATTCAGCCAAACCTCGAATGGAATACCATACAAGTAGATTAGTTCATTATGTTACACATTCAAAATTCTTTTAAATTCTGTCAGCCTTCATGCAGCTTTTTATGTGTATTTTGCAAATGTACTTTCCTGCCTGAGATATGGCATTATATTCTGGGGAAACTCATCCTACAGTACTCAGACCTGTAGATTGCAGAAACAAATTATTCGAATAATAAGGAAATGCATCCACGTGATTTCTACAAGCCTCTCTCTATTGATATTGGGATCTTACCATTGTCTTTCATATTTATTTATGAATCTGTAATTTTTGACAAAACTGACTTACGGATTTTTGACACAAAAACTTGTGTTGTCGGACTCTGGTAAGGAAAAAGTGAATAAATCCAGTTACTAAATATAGAAAAATAATCCTTAACACATGGTGTAACCAGTATCCATATTTAGTGCGATCTACGTTCCGAAAAATCAATTTACAGCAAAACGTCTCTCTGTCCGCCTGTGTGTGCACAATGCTAGCACATAAACCGTTTAGCAGATTTTCTGCAAAATTGATATTCCTTAATTGTTTTGGCTGGAGTTACATCCCTGGAATTTGAAACTGATATTTTAATTTTGAGGAGTACTTTACTTCAAGCCCCTTGGACATATAAAAAGAAAATGACTTCAAATTTTTTTGTCACTGCCCTGAGGAAGCCTGCGAAATGTCAGGCGAAACGTCGGTACCCCAGCCAACGACGCGGCGTCTCCCGGATAGCCAAGAATTCATGGATTCGAGCCGCGGAAGCTTACGTACACATCTTCAAATTTTTTTATTACATTTTGATGTTAAATACTGAATAAGATGTTTAAGAGAATGGTGCTGGTCTCATTTTTGTTGAGATCATTGATATTTACAAAAACTTTTTTCTCAAACACTGCTTCAAATTTTTTCAAAAATGTTCTTCACTTATGTAAGACGGGAGGGTAAAAATATGGTGCTAGTCCCATTTTCGGGTGTTGCACGTGTTTATCGAAAATTGCAAAAAAGAATTCAAAACTACAAAATTGAAGTTAGAGATTTGTACTTTAGACTAAATCTGTAGTATAAAATTAGCTCTTTAAAAAAGGTCACCTACAATTTTTTGTGAAAGTTAGTAGTTTTCGCGTAATTTCTGTTTGAAACTAATGAAACATAAATGGGTGTTCCATCGTACACAATGATAATGATAACGAAAAAAATGGGAGAGAGTATGCAATGTTGTAACACTACTAGTTTTTTAAAATAATTTTTTGTTTTCATTTTTTAAGTTTTATTTCATGTTTTTATTCATCTTTTAACTATTTATAGTTAAGGCTAATTGTCCCGACGCTAGTACAATTTGTAGCCACCACGTGGCAGCACCAAAATAAGAAAAAATTACTTTACCGATAACGTCTGAATCAATGGGTCGATTTTCCATCTGTAAACGGCATTTGACGCCTTTTTAAAATAGAATTTACACAACGATGACCTTTTTCCAAAAATCTAGCAAAAAAGCGATTTTGAAATTAGTTCTCAAACTTCCGAGAAAAAATTAAAAAATGTGGGCTTATAGCGCAATGGCGACATGCTTCCTGAATCCAACGCCGTGACAAGCATGCAAATCGGAAGAATAGGAGCGTCGTAAAGTGAAATTTACGAAAACGCCTCCCCCCTTGCCCTTCTGCGCCGTTGCGTCATCCACCCCCAACTGTTGTGGGCCCTCTGTCGGCGCGGCGGCGTGCGGCCAGCCCCGGCGGAGCTGGCGAAACTTGCGGGATACGCAAGCCAGACAGTCGGTTTATGCGTTCGTCACTTTTCATCTCAATCTATTTTCCACATATACCAAACTAGAGATGCTATACTACTATAACAGACAGAGGTAAACGGTCTGTAAATGTAGTACATAACTATCTTTTTCACTTATTTCCGTCTTCCTTCGAATACGATCTTAACATTGAGGCATTATTCAAAATATCGATTCCTATTTGGCACTGTTTTTTAGGTACTAATTCTGTAAATATCATCATTATTCCATCTCCTCACATCTTATTTTAGATATATTTTACGTGTAAGGTCTTCTGTAATCACTCTACCTTGCTCTTGGATCTTCCGGGTTCAAATACCGGAAAGAATGAGCGGAGTATACGAACGAGCTCTTTTATCCTACAACTCGATTTTTGATCTCA